ATGGATCCCCCGCGAGGTCACCATCGTGGCGGGGATGACTGTCACCACCCCTCCTTGCGACGAGACAGCCAGCGAGGATGGCAGCATCTGCTTGGGGATGATGATCTTTGTGATGCTGGTTTGGCCGGCCGACTGGGGGCCGGCGCTGGAGGTCACCACCACTGTGGGCTGGGTGGGGACAATAGCCGGAGGAGGAGGGGGAGGCGGACTCTCGAGGGCCGGAGGGGTGGGCGGCATCGGGGCCGGGGGGGAAGCCGATTCCACAGCGGGGGCCGGCTGCTCAGAAGGAGAGGAGATTGGGTCCAGTTCCACCGTCTCGACCGTGGTCTGGGGAGACAAAATCGGCGATGCAGTTCAAGAACAGACAGAGCGTGACTTGCTATACTTCCTTGCCTTGTTCTCTCCTCCTAAGAACTCAAGAGATGCAGGCAGGCAAAATTCAAGGTTTGTAGAAAAGGAGGTATATCCCGAAGGGGGAAAACTCCCCCTGACCCAGTTGAGGAGTGGAAGCCACACGATATGCTGCCGCCAAGTTTACTGAGGTGGGCAGGGGGCAGAAGCTCAAACCGTCGAGAGAGTGGAATGACAAAGCTTATACAATGGTCTTGTTTACAGGAAAAAGGACAGTCTGACCCCTTAGAGACAGAGCCCACCCAAACCCATAGCAATCTACCATTTTTAGCTTTTGATTTGTTTAATCAGCAAACCTTGAGTAACAGTCAAGGGTCAACTTCCTCTTCTCTGGTCCAAAGGCCCTGAGTTTGCCGTTTTGGCCCCTTAGTGAACTATTTGTATTTTATTTTCTCAAGCATTAGGCTAAGCATTGAAGCCTCTCTGAAGCCATTTTTGTCAGGCCAAACGGCTTTATTAGTTATTTTCCTCCTTCAATCAACACCAAATAGAAAGGGAAACAGAGCAAGGGGACTGGCAGCCAAACCTTTAGGGACCCCCCACACCAATGTTTGTAACAGCAATCCTCAGCAGTGGTACCCCAGACAGAAAGGAAAAGTTCTCCTCCAAGGCAGACTTTTTTTTTTCTTTAAAAAAAAAAAAGGCACAGAAGTTATAAAATGACAGGCATTGTCTGCATCTTCCCTGTATCTATGGTCTGTCACGAGCGACATGCTGCTTTGGCATCCTTTCCCCATTAAGACCAAAGCCACAAATTTACGCCACCCAGCAAAAGGTCACTCAGTGATTGAAGGCCTGCTCTGAACGGTTCACAGCTGCAAAGCTCCTGGCTTCTCCTTGTTATGAACTAAAAGCATCAGATAGAACATCAGATCCTTTCCTGCTGAAATACTAGAGCAGGGTTTCTCAACCTTGGCAACTTGAAGGTGGGTGGACTTCAACTCCCAGAATCCTCCAGCCGGCA